AGCTCACAGAATGGAGCAAACGAAAGCTCTCAACGCTCTGGAGGTACTTGCCACCCTTTCCCCACGGCCATACTAGAACTGCAAGCTAACATGATCGCAGCCCTTCCTGGCCCTCAGCAAATCGGCAACATCCCCTCGCGCCGCCGCCGACCTCATCACGCGCGCAACATCCAACCCAAACACCTTCCTCTTCACAGAACTCCTCTCAACACCTCAGATTCAGGCCCTCGCCTCAAACCCAGAGTTCCTCCCCCACCTGACCCAGCTCGAGCTCTTCTCCCACGGCACATACGCCGCCTACCAAACCACGCCGAACCTGCCACCCCTCAACGACGCCCAAACCCTCAAGCTGCGCCAGCTCACCCTCCTCACACTCGCCCGCGAGCGCTCCAACCTTTCCTACGCCAACCTCCAAACCGCCCTCGACCTGCCCACCCCGCGCGCCCTCGAAGACCTCGTCATCTCCGCAATCTACGCCGGCCTGATCGACGCCACCCTCGACCCCCACCGCCAGGTCGTCCAGGTGAACTCCCTCGCCGCCCTCCGCGACCTCGCCCCCGGCGCCGTTCCGCCCATGATCCGCGCCCTGCACGCCTGGTCCGCCCGCTGCGAGTCCACCCTCGGCGACCTCGAGTCCCAGATCGCGAGCATCCGCAAGACCGCCAGCGACCGCGTCCGCGACAAGGCCGAGCAGGACCGCAAGCTGGCCCGCCTGGTGGACGAGGCCGGCAAGGAGCCCGCAGACCCCAATGCGCGCAAGTTCCCCGTTGGACACGCCGTTGTTGGCGGCGAGCGGGCGTTTCTGGGACACTCTTCGCGGTCGAGTCGGTACAACAAGCGGGGCAGCACGAGCATGATGGACAACACGGAGGAGGTCGATGACGAGGCCATGGACGTGGACGAGGATGACGAGGAGCAGGAGAAGAAGCGCGCCAGTAGACGAAAGACTGCCTCGGGTCGCGCGTAGGTCTGAGCGATGAGTTGGTTCTGATGGATGAATGCTCTCGCATTTGCTCACGGGGCGGGAGTAGTATGAGGACATGGTAATCAAGCATGGGATACGGGTCATGAAATACCTGGGGTAGCTAGGAAAGCCCCCAGCATAGCAACCAAAAATCACGATAGATCATGAACAACTTTTCAGTTAAAACCGTAACGTGTTGATACAGACGGCCCCTAAGGGCCTCGTCCCGTTCGTCCGTCCGTCTGGTCTGTGGGTTCCTATCTACGTATGCCATTGAAGAAAAGATTAGGGAATCAAGAATAAGAGAAGAAAGAAAAAAAAAGCGAATGTCGTTGAAGCCAAAAGTCTTCCCGAATCTCATCCTCGTCCTCAACCTCCGCGACGTTCCCTGCTGCCCAGCCACCTCCTTCCCCTTCCGCCCACAGCCTGAAGAGTAGAAACCAATCGTCGTTGGTTCCTCCGTAATAGTACACAAACAAGACATTGTGTGCATGCACATTGAAGAGAAGAAGAAAAAAATTAGATCCCTTCCTGTCGAACGCCATATGCGAGGCCTATGATTCCCGTGGGGGCCTCTTTTTTGTCCCTCTACGCCATGAGAAAAATGAAAACCCTCTGTGGTATCCTGAATGGAAGACCGAAAAGAAAACAAAACCCGAAGACTTGGTCGCTCAAAAATCCTTTGTGGTCGTAACGGTCGTAAGCTCTCTCTTAGCAAACATCACATTTATTGCGCGATGATGCTGTCACGTCTCTTTGTTGCTGTTTAAAGCCGCTTGCCTGGGACAAGGATGAAGAGAACACAGAGCGCGGCATCAACTAGGAAAGTGACGGCAAGGACCATGATGGACCGCTTAGCGAGGAGCTTACGAACGTAGGGCTCACGGATCCGGGAGAAGTTGAAGGGTGTGTACTCGCTCAGTCCGATGAGAGCGAGGACAGGATCCAGTGAGTATTGGTAAGAGGCGAGGAAGTAGACACCAACGGTGAAAGGGAGAATGAGCTGAAAGGATTGTTAGCATGGACCCCTGCATTGTGTGACATTATCTGAGAAACTCACCCAGCAGCGCGTAGTACGGGCAGCATCCAGGAAGATGAGAATGAAAGCAGCCCAGAAGCCGCCGAACATGGACAGAAGACCGATGATCATTCTGATCTGGAGGGTAGTGGGAATGAGGTTGCCCAGGGCCTTCATTCTCAGGAAATTGGGGAAGGCGTCGCGCTCCATAGCCTGAAAGACGTAGTCCTTGGCAACGTCAAAGACCTCGGGGTCATCTCTGCCAAAGTCCTCAATGGCGGTGGTGACGTCCTGGGTGATGGAGCCGGGCAGGATGATTTCGCGCTCGGCGCCGGGGAGAAGGAAGGTGTAGAGGATCTTCTCGGCGGAGGCGCGGATGTCCTGTCTCGCGACGGCGTTGGCGGGGGAGTTTGAGTCGGTCGTCAGGTCCCGCGTGTGGCTAAAGGCACCGCTTGGTCGGCTGCGGTGGTCGCCTGTGCTGCTCTGCGGCGAGTCGTGGGCCTCCTCGCGCAGGTACGCCGACATCTGGGCGTCCTGGTTCTTCTCCTTCTCGGTTGCATACATGGAAGGGCCGGCAGCCGGGTGGCTCATGTCGCCGAGGCCGTCGAGAATCGCGGAAGACCGCTTCGAGCCGGACTTGTCCAGGTCGGGCGTGCCGACGAGGACTGATCTGCGAAGTTCGCGGACATAGTGACGGCACAGAGACATGTGCTGAGCGACATCGAGCCTAGTTGCGAGTCGTTAGTCAGGTAACGCGTGTGAGAGTTGCTTCCGTCTGCACGAACCAGAAATCGAGATAGTCGACCGATTTTTGCTGGTCTCGCATGAAGATATAAAATGAGAACAGGTCGACGGGAGGCAGCGTCCGTCTGCTCAAAACCTCGAAGAGTGTCGGCAATCGGTTGCGTTCGAAGTCGGGCTGAGGGGACGGCGTGCCAGACGCCCCTGTTGATCGGTCCTCCATCATGTTGGTGAAGAGCGAAAGCGTGTCGCAAAGTCGGGGGAGTGAAAAGGGTATCGGCGGTGATTTTTGGAAAAGTAAAATAATCGGGCAAGTCGGGTCGGTCGTTGTTTACCGATGATGTGAAGTCGAAAGGTGAGGCGTCGGAAGGATGCGCGATATCGTAAATGAGGTGCAATCTGCAAACAGGCCCCCAAGCGAGCGGTTTGGCAGGTGTCCTAGGCAAGGTCCTCGGCGGCGCGGGCTGAATGGGTTCGATGGTCGATTGTGCCCCGGGTTTGGAATTACTGTGTGTTGAACGAGCGTATGAAGGGAAGGATCGCGCACGGCGCAGACTGACAGCGTCAGTGTGGTTGGCGATAGCGCGGCAGCGTGATGGTCTTGGGAGTTGCTAAAGTGCCGCTCTCCACGGCATAAACAGCAGATCAAGCGTCGTCTAGACCCGGGACTAATTTCGTCGTCTGGTCAGGGGGGAGGAACCTGCGTCGGAGGCTGGGTCGGGACGGCGATACGTACCGCTCGCTCTCAACTGGACGGCCTGCCTTGCTGAGGTGTGGTACAGCACTGCAGCAAGCCGGTCCACTGCAGCAAGAAGGAAAGCGCGCTATCCCCGATTGCGCCCAGCGCGGTGCATCGCCCAAGGCGTCCCACTCCCACCATCTTTTGCAGCGACAAAGCTCCACCCATCCCAAATCTTGGCCGCAGCGCTGACATAAGATCACGTGCGCGAAATTTCCATCTGTAGCGAGCCAATCAGAGCTGTAACCCTAGCTTTTTGGACTCTACACAACATTTTGTGGGATTGGCCATTTATCCTGAGAACAAACTCTCTAGACAATCGCCCGACCGACCGACTCCGACGACCAACGACGACGAGAGGTACCGCCAAAATGTCGACCAAGCAGAAGAAGCCTGCCGGAAAGCAGCGTTCCGCCATTGCGGACGTCGTCGCTCGCGAGTACACCATCCACATGCACAAGCGCGTTAGTATTTTCCAACAAGAGGCCGTCGCCGTCGTCGCCCGAGGCGGGGATGGCGAGCGGTGATGGGTGCCGGGAAAGTTTTTCGACAAGGACACGGCGATGCTGACTCTGCCTCTCTCTACTAGCTCCACGGTGTTACCTTCAAGAAGCGCGCTCCCCGTGCCATCAAGGAGATCAAGGCATTCGCGCTCCAGGCCATGGTACGTTCCGCTGCCCCTCACCCGATCCGACAAGAAGAAAAGTCTGCGCCCAGGACCGCAATCACCCACGACCGGTCTCTCACACGACAGGCGATTCGAGGATCAACTGCTTCACAGCTGGATAGAACAGCGGCTAACCTCGATCACTCCGCAGGGTACCTCTGACGTCCGCGTCGACCCCCAGCTCAACAAGAAGGTCTGGGAGCAGGGTGTCAAGGGCGTCCCCTACAGACTCCGCATCCGCATCTCCCGCAGACGAAACGACGAGGAGGGTGCCAAGGAGAAGCTGTACAGCTACGTCCAAGCCGTCAACGTCAAGGACCCCAAGGGTCTCCAGACCGTTGTCGTTGAGGAGTAAAAAGTTCTCTTTGGGATGGTTTAAGGGCGGCATAAAGGCATAGGAGTTGCATTCGGCATTCTAGTCTCACATACAAAATCGACGGAAATGTGAACAACGCTTGATTCCCCACCAACGACTCGACGACTTCCTTTTCTGTTTCTTGTTTTTTTGGAACCCCGCGCTGTGTGTGGTCGGTGGTGGCGGTGGGATGATTATGCGCGCGCGCGGCGATGGGATGTGAACAAAATGAAGAGGCTTCTTGGGACAACACAACGTTTTCTTGTGGTTCATGTTACAACACACCGTCCGACAAGGTCCTTTCTACCGACTTGGTGGTCTGCTAGACGCAGATACAGGATACATCAAATCCTACCCGGGTCCCAGCCATGCAATGCAGTCCAATTCCTAACAAAGAGTTCCAAAAACCTCCCGGCCCGTAATCATACAAGACTCCAATTCTCCAGTGCTCAAATTCCAATGCCACTCTCCCCGTGACGTCGCCCTCTGCAGGCTCTCATTCATGTGCCTCAACGTCTACTCGTCCTCAACGTCGCGGTGACGGCCGAGGACCTTGCGCTTGAACTCTTCGGGGTCCTTGTCCCAAAGCTCTGCGGCCTCGCCGTTCAGAGGAGAGGAGCTGTGGTCATGTTAGCGTGTGCGCCGAACCACTTTTCATCTGGGTCTACCTACTTGTTGGGCTCGCCCAGCAGACTCTGCAGGCTGAGCAGAACGGTCTGGATGTTGTAGGCGGGGGTCCACTTGTCCTTGAGGATGTCGAGGCAGATGCGGCCGGAGAAGTCGAAGTTGGGGTGGTAGATTGGCGTCTTGAAGAGGACGGTTGGTGGTGCGTAGGGGTAGTTGCTGGGGAAGGAGAGACTGAGCTTCAGCGTCAAGCCGGCGTAGGGAGTCTGGTCGGGGCCCTCGATGGTCGCCGTCCACGACATGAGGTTGCCGTCGGCGGAGGGGAAGGCAGAGACGCCGGGAGCAGGCGAAGTCATGAGCTGCATCAGCTCTGTCTGCAATCTGTGACCACAAAGTCAGTCTACCTGATCACGAGTAAGGCGGTCATCGCCGACGAGCTCCGCATACCTCTTGGTGACGCTCTGCGCATCGGGTCCCTTCCTGGCGCCACCGAGCTTGGCTGCCTGGACGCTACCGGGAGCAGAGTTCTGAGAGTCCTCCATGCTGTAGTCCATTGTTGATGAAGTCGGATACTGGGAAATGCGAAGAAAGCAATAGCTTTTGAGGGTATCGATGACCTCGAGGTCTAAGCAAAGGCGATGATGTCTGGTAAGAAACAGAGACGGGATACAGCAGGTGGCTGGATACTGGATCGGGAGGAGAGGGGTTCCTCTTTGTGTTTATGAGCAGCTGAAGAATGAGAAATGCGCAGAAAATCGAGGGGCGAAAGATGAGAACTTGCAGCGGCGTCAAGAATAACAGAAAGTCGTTATTCCATAGGGCGAGAGGGCTTCTAGGATTGGAGAATTGGGGGAGCCGGTACCTGGGCGACGCGCCGACCGGGCTGGGTTGACGTTTCCGGGTTAGCGCTGTCGCTGCCGTACGACGAGCTGCCAACGGTCTTTCGGTACGTACCGCTATGACATGTCATTGGCTGTGTTCAACCTCACCTCAAGACGGCCTCACATTGGCAGTGTCTTCGTGCTTGGCTGGGTTGATGGACTTTGAGGATGCGTTTAAATCACAATGGAAAAAAAAGATTGAAGCTCTTGTTTTTGATTACTTATATCAGGTTAATTAGGGCAAACCTTTCCTTCTGATACTTCTTCATTCGTGAGCAGATATTGACGAAATAATCGTCTGTTTTTTCCAACATACGCTCCAGCGCTCCAAAATATCCAAAATCGCAAAGCATTTGGATCTTTTCCTGTAATTGAACTCATATCATCTCAATTTTTCTTTCTAAATCCAGTCACTCGCCTGTCATCCTAGCAGCTGACTGCCATTCACTCTGAGATAGCTGCTTCTTCTATTTCTGCAAAAATAACTTATTCGATCCAACCTCAAATTTCTGGAATATGGGAGGGGACATCATTGTCCTGTTTTCATTGCCACAGTTCAATCCATGGCTAATCAGCGTAGCAGGTCCTTGGAATGACTTACACATCCGATTAGCACATTTCATCTCGTTCTCTCAACCACACATCGCCCTTGTTCTATGGCCTCACCAACATGTAGTACGCTTCAGTAGAGTATCTTACCTCATATCCAGGGGACGTAAGGCCATGAAACAGAAGAGGTGCTTCCGTGGCACTGAGACACATGACATCGTGTGATCCCACGCGGGCCTGGAAAACAAGCATAAAAGTCGGGCTGATGTAGGATCCAAACTTTTCGTTCTCTTCCTTTCAAACAAATCTTGCGGAAGAATCAAATTTTCACAGAATCATACCATGAATTTTACACAAACCAATTTTCTTTTTGCTCTTCTGTCATTGTTCTCTCTTACAAACGCTTTTGCTGGGTAAAGCTCAAACGATTTGGAGGGGCAGGCACCTTCCTGCAAGGCTGCCTGCCCGCCTTTGGCAACTTCCTTCCGCCTCTGCCTCAGATGACATCTGAAATTTCTCTTTTGGTCCTGCCTTGGGGCAGCTGTAAGTACTTACCCTAAACCTCACTTCAGCTTAAAACCCAAACCAACCTCACCCTCCTTTTCTTCAGACCCCAACTCCCTCTCCTCACCTTTCATTGCTCAGCCAACAATTTCACCTTCACGCTTCATTCTGCCCGGCGAAATATTTGAATTTGCGACTGATCTAATCCGCTCTTCCAAAGTATTTCCTGCTTCCCCAAAATTTCAGGAACACACTCCATGATGGCACACCATGGTTGCCTTTGGGCCGGCTGCGTAAAGCAGGACCGTGACCTAGCGTAAGTCTATCACATGTCCCCAGACATCAGAAAGCTTGCTAATCGTTAATAAGGGTCACAGAATCCGAGGCCAAGGCTCAAACGGCCAATCCCTCTCCAGCTCCCACTTCGGGAAATCGGTCCCAAGGGGGACAGTCCCAGGCTAGAGAGACGCATGAGACTGCTTCCAAAGGCTCCAAGAACACAACAATGTTCCCCAGACAACCCATTGCCAAGGCGTCTCGATACTGCGCAAGCCACCAGAATCCATGGATTCGGTGGGATCTTGTACGAGTTGGAAGATTGCAGTGTGAATTCTGCCACAAGTTCCAGACAGAGTACGTCTTCCAGTGCAAGGGATGCAAGATCAAGGCGTGCAATGTCTGCCGCAGAAACAGAGGCTTTCGAGGGTAAGTTTTGAACCACATCACAAAGAGGCTCGGGTGCTGACTGCTTTCCAGCCCTCAGATGTAATGGGGACATTGAAATTTACGGCGTGGCTCTACCCGCGAAAAGACCACGACAAATTCACCAAAGTAACCAGCACTACTTGGACTTATGCCCTCTACCAATCGAGGAAAGCAGTAGTCATCAAATTGGCCGCCTTCGAAAGTGAGAAAAGAACACTGGAGGAATTCAGAGGGTTGGGTCGCAGGACACCGTTGATGCCGCGGGTGGTAACCTGTCATACGAAAGGATGAAAACCGTTAGAGGGAAAGGATACGCCGTTGATGCATCGTGCTTTGGCTCCAATCCATTTTCCTACGATGATGATTGCTTGCAACAGCTTTTGCAGCTATCCCAGAAGTAATCAAATCGAACAAATCAATTCCCCAAAACCATTGACTCTTACTCTCTCTTTCTGAATTGATGCCTGGTCCATCGCACTTCAACCGCCTGAGTCTCAATGGGTAGCAGTCCAAGCCCCACTGCGGCTTTGCTCTTTGCAAAAGCGGCGAGGGCTGAGGCGGCGGGCCCCTGTAGCTTTAGAGGGGGTGTGCTGCGGACTGTTTACCTGGCCAACGCTCCGGCAACCACGATAAGGCTCCTTATCCGCCAATGGAGACGCGTCGGCTACGGTGGCGCTGAAACGACCCTGGAATTGGCATCAAAACACGCCAAAAGCTCTTTACGCGGTTGATGCGCGCGCTCCGTGCCTGGAGGGAGGAATGGGACCGCGTGGAGCAGGGTCCTAGACAGGCCATGAACACGGCGAGTCTGTTTGAATCGGGACCCTGGAGTAGGTTCTTTGTGCACAAATTGCCTCCCCTAGTCAGCTACGTCATGCACACTGTTTGTGCCCATTGTGTTGCTGCTGTTGCCTGCCTTTAGTTTGCCAGAAAAGAGTCATCCAACTGTGATCCAAGACCCCTGTTAACCGTCTCATTTCCCGTCCAAGATCGCCCTCCATCATGGACTAGCCAACCGCAATCTTTCCCACTGGAACCATCTAAACACCATCCGGACGTGGCATACTCACCAATTCAAGATGCAACAATCGCAGCTTGACCCCCTGCCCACGGATCTGCCCTTCCGGATCATCTCCAAGACCATTGGACGGGGCGCATACGCATCGTGGGATACCCCTCTTTCGCGAATCGCCCATCGTGGAGCACCCCACTGACATGGTAAACACAGGATCAAGAAGGCCATTCCGCAAGATGCGACAACACCGGTTTTCGCTGTGAAGTTCATCCACAAGGGATATGCTACTAAACATGGCAGGGTCTCGCAGAAGCAGCTGTTGATGGAGGTTTCGCTGCATTCTCATGTCGGCCAACACTCAAACATCATCGAGTGGTTCGCTTCCGGGGAGGACATCAACTGGAGATGGATCGCCATGGAATTCGCCAGCGGTGGCGACCTTTTCGACAAGATTGAAGCCGACGTTGGCTTGAACGAAAACATTGCCCACGTCTACTTCCTCCAGCTCATCAGCGGCGTGAGCTTCGTCCACTCCAAAGGCGTGGCGCATCGCGACTTGAAGCCAGAAAACATCTTGCTCTCAGAAACGGGAAACCTCAAGATTGCCGACTTTGGTATGGCCACCATGTTCGAGTACAAGGGCCAACGGAAGACCAGCTCGACCCTTTGCGGCAGCCCGCCCTACATCGCCCCTGAGATCCTCGCCTGCAGTAAGGCGGACAAGACCACGCCCACCGGCAGCAAGTACTCTCCAGATCTGGTCGACATCTGGTCTTGCGGTGTCATTCTTTTTGTGCTACTCGTCGGAAACACACCTTGGGACGAGCCATCACAAGTCAGCTGGGAATACCAAGAGTACGTCCGGACCAATGGCCGCAGCACAGATGCCCTCTGGGCAAGGATACCGGCGAACGCCCTCTCCCTGCTCCGGGGCATGATGTCCATCGACCCCGAGAAGCGCTTCTCCTTCGCCCGCGTCCGCCAACACCCGTGGTACACCCGCACAAACCCGCACCTGACCTCCGACGGCCAGGTCTCCGACCCCATCAACCTCGCCACCAAGATGCTCGAGAGCCTGCGCATCGACTTCAGCCAACAGCCGACGGCATCGCAAGGCACCTCGTCCAACGCCGACGCCATGGACCTCGACTCCTCTGGCCCCGGCAAGGTCTCCTTCACGCAGCCCGAGACCCCGATCAACGACGTCGCCTGGGACTGGGAGCGGCCCGCCCTCAAGGCTATGAACCCCATCGCCGTGTCCTCCACGCAGCCCATCTCGCGCAGCGAGTCCGGCGTCGCGAACCGCCGCCTCTTCCTCGAGTCGCTTGAGCAGGAGCCGTCCATGAGCCAATTCTCGCAGACGCCCGGCGTTCCGCTGACGCTCACGCAGGCGGCGCGCCGCTTCCGGGACATCGTGCCCTTCGAGTCGCTCACGCGCTTCTTCTCGCACGTGCCCCCGACGCTGATTGTGCAGATGCTCAGCGACGCGCTGCACCACCTCAACGTCCCGCTGTCGCCGGTCAACCCGAACCTGTACGGCGACCACATTGCCACGCTGCGGGTCAAGACGCTCGACGAGAGGAGGCAGTCGCTGCACGGCGAGATCCACATCGACAAGCACCGGCTGCCCGAGGAGCAGGAGCTGCTAGACATCCGGTTCGTGAAGATCAAGGGCGATCCGCTCGAGTGGCGCCGTTTCTTCAAGAAGATTGTCGTGCTTTGCAAGGATGGCGTGTATACCCCGGATGCTTAGACAAGGAAACTTCACTGGGAATAGAGGGAATGAGGGATGCTGAGACGAGATTCATGTGTATTGATGTGTACGGATACGCTTGGGATAATGATTAAGCAAAAGTTAACGCTTCGTGAAATGATTACTCGTGTTTGACCTCTAAGGGACCAGAATCGGGCCGCATCATTTCAACTCAGTCTATGGACCAATGTGAATACGATGGCGCACGGTACTGCAGGATAGCGACAGTGATCAGAGGCGGAGAAGACGGAGAAGACGAAGACGGAGAAGACGAAGACGGAGAAGAAGAAGACGGACAGAGAAGAAGACGGACAGAGAAGAAGACGGACAGAGAAGAAGACGGCTGTTTTCCAAGCTCAATTCTTCTATAGCCTCCTGCGCTGCTAAGATCCCCTTTCTTTTGACCTTGGCACCCGACGTCGCTGTATTGTTACGGCTGTTGTGTTGGTTGTGATCATCGCTCTGGTCATTTTAGTGATTGTCCATGTCGCCACCATACTCCACATCGTCATTGTCGTATTCCTGCAAAGACAACTCGCCGTCTAAATCGTTGTTCAAAAGGCACCTGAGAGCGCGGAGGCCAGTAAGTGACATGTGGAATCAGCCGTCCGCCAATCTTCACCTCGCCTAACTCAACGAGATCGCGACCGACGAACTCCTGAAAGGGCCTGTAACCTCTAGACTTGTAAACACGCCATTGCTGAATACGTGCCGAGGTTTCCAGATCCCACGATCTCCAGTCGGCCCCGGTGACAGCATCGAAATGGCTGGGGTAGAGATTCGTCAAGTCACTGTGCCAACTCCTAATCTCCCGTATGATGAGAGCCAGGAGGCTAGTGAATACCGGCCCGTGGCCAGTGACGCCATAGGTGTTGAGTCTGTTTCGTTCACATGTCTGTCCTCTGCAGAGAAAAAGAAAGAGGTATGCGTGGACCATTTCGTGAATAAGAACCCCGACAATGTTTGACCACTCACCCTTGACTATCGTCCTGTGTGGTACACTTAGGTCACGCCAGCTAGAGAAAAGTCGTATTACGACAAGGTTCTCCCCTTTCTGACGTGCGTCACCCAACTTGCCCTCCTCTCCGACGCCCAGATCCGAATATCCTGTGAGTAGCTGCACAGTTGGCAGCCCCCTGCGAGTCATACTGCCGAAGAAGAAGCGGTCGTCCAAGAAACGCATAAGGTCGCGCAAGAGTGTGTCCAATGGCGGTGATTTGCCTGCCAGAGCGGGCATCGTGTCGAGAATAGCCGCCATAGATGAACCCTCCTTGAAGCGATTGTGGAACTCACCCTGAGCCGCTTTCTGGCGAGCGGTGAGCTTGTCATGGAGGAAACCGGCAACGGTCTTGTTCAGCAGGTCTCGTGCGCCGTATGAATGGAATTGTAGAGGCCACTCCGGTCTGTCGTCGGGCACCACTTCCTCGGCTCCTCGACGGATGGCCCTTGGAAACGTGGCGTGGTTGCAAGGCTGTATAGACTGGACCGGGACGGGTACCTGCCATTGCGCTTGAGGCACCGACATGTTGGCTAATAGTGGCCTGTGCAGGAACAAACAACTCTGTTAAAGAAGTCTGATAATAACTGCGCCGAGATTGGAGAGACTTGGCTCACTCTTATGGAAGTCTCAGAAGGGCGCAGCGGATAGGGGGGATTCATGTCGAACTGCTGCTTTCTTTGACAACCTCACTCAAGGTGGTCTCCCAAGGCGGATTGCTTAGGGCCAATCATCCTGTTGGATCGAAAGAAACACTTCGCCTTTTGTTTGGTCCCGGGAAACGTCCTCCAAATCGAATAGCTGCAGGTAGCAAAAGGTGTCAAACAATAGGCGACCGCGATGCTCCCAGGGTGGCTTTGCCATATAGGTCATTCCCAGTATAGGAATGATCCATGAAACACGAAACTGACGAAAGCAAGCAAGGTATGCGACTATTCTCCCTGTGAGTGTGTATATGCTTTATAGCTAGTATTATCGTTATTGTCGTTATGATCGCTGTCGTTATTGTCGTCATTGTCATCTCTCGTCATCGTCTATCGTCGTCGTCTATCGTCGTCGTCTATCGTCGTCGTATACTATCGTTATTACCTCTATTCTTTTTACTCCTTTTACCATCGTCCCTGGTTGGAGTACTTTAGTAGACAAGATATATAATGCCTACAGCACAGGAAAAATAGAGAGGCTCCTTGTTTTTCCTCATCAATTTCGTTCTATCACACGTACCAGTGACATGAAAACATGAATCTGATCACCAACTTGTTTCTCGTGTACATATAAACAGTCGCGCGAATATTGATATCAACATTGCCTAGCAGGGTGTCTGATGCGCTGACCTCAAAGGTCCTCAGACGAGGACATATAGCAAAGCGGATAAGTACTACAGAACCAATCATCGAAGAAACCAAAACTTCCCAAAATATATAGAATGAACAAAGAAAAATATGCAGAACAGCCGATGCGAATCACCCGGGAACCCCCAGAGTTTGAGCCAGATTGCAAAATACCTACCATCCCATTCGCTTAATGCACCACATCAGCAGCATACCGTTCGATCCAAGCATCAGGATGCGGAATCGGGGACCCTCGCCGACGGAAAAGGACCCTCGTTATAGTTCTGCCATTTACTTCCCCTTGGACCAGCCGAAGCAATTGGTTAGGACTGTCAGCTCGAAGAGGTACGAAATTCCGTAGGCTATCTGCACGTATGGCCTTTTGATACGCCTCATTTTCAATGGCGCATGAATATCCATCAACACAGCCTCCCTCAAGACTACATGCGGAGTCCATTTCCGCCAGAACAGTATGCCAGGAGCGCATTTGCTGAAGGATAAGAGCATGGACTTTGAGGAACGTATTTCCGTGCCCACTTAAGCCAACGGTGTTGATGGAGTTTCTTGTGCACTGCTCACCATTGCAAACAAAAGTATTGAGATAGGCGTGGGTCATCTCATGCATAAGAGTTGAGACGATGGTTGACCATGGAACGGTCTCTGCACACAATGAAGACGCTGTAAGAGTCCATACTTTGATGTGAGACGAGTTCTCCTTAGAAATTGTTTCTCCATACTTGACCCCCGCTTCGTCTCTCAGAACATGATATCCTGTAGAGAGCTGGACACATGGGGCTTGATGCCCTTGATGAACGCGAGTCAAGGTGCCGAAGAAGAAACAATCGTCGAGACATTTCATCAATTCATGGAGATAATTGTCAAGAATTGACGCAGCTGCCAACTCTTCAACTGAAAGGGGGAATCGCCGCCCTTGCTGACCAGCGTGCTGTTGCCACGCTCGAAAGACATCTGCTCTCGGCGCCGCCTGTATATAGTAAGTAAGAAAGTTGTCACGGGCTGATTCCTGGTAACCATGTACAAGGCCCTCGGCAAAATCCTTGACCGTCTCGTACGCGAGTTGTGTAGCGTTGTAGGTTCCTGGTATCAGAGGCAGAAATGGCCGCAGCTGAATCGATTTGGCAGAATAAGCTTGCTGATGAATGCCAGGTTCTGGAAAGGAGACAAGATGGCAGATTTCAGTCCTCTTGTAGTGACATTCATAGAATTGTGGGAACACTTGGTTTTCCATGTTAATGTTTGGTGTTTGGTGTTTGAGATGATGCCTTTTTGTCTGCGAATTCATGTCGTTAATGGCGAGATAGAACAACTGGAATAGGTTTACGGGCGATGCTATATACTGGAACTTGTCGAGCAAACTGTCGTCAAAGTAAGCACCCCAGAAATATGTCAAACCCTCGACATAAAGGCTGAGGAACTCGACAAGAGTTTTGAAACCTCTAGACCTCGCTGGGTGGCCGTCTGGTCTCGTTTGAGGGACAATACCATTCATTGCTTTAACCCACACCAAGGCCTGTCTCATGATTGATGGAGTCTTTTCTTTATTTGGCTTGATCTAGATAATTATGATAACTTGAATGCTGATAGAACGAGCTGGCTCGTAGGCCTGCAATCGAGGTCCCGCTATAGAAACTGAAGCCAGCTATCTATACAATGGACCTAACAAAGAGAAGAATTCGCAAAATATATTATTGTAAGAGTAAGTATTCTCGAAATGAAAACCGCTTCCGTCTTGTCATTCATCTTTTTTGTGTCGTTTAGATTTGCGTTTGGGCACGAGAGCTTGACCTCGCTTGAATAAGGACGCAACAAAGAGTCGGAAGCCCTTGGACGTCTTGGAAGTATCTATAATCGCAACTAGATCTTGAGAAGTTGAGCCTGAATCTGGCCCCGAAGATGACTTAGGAGTTGTTTCAGGAGTCGGTTGAGGCGTTGGTTCTGGAGCTGGTTCGAGAGTTGGCTCTGGAACTGACTTTGAAGTTGGCTTCGAAATCTCTGCTTTCGACCATACATGCGTACATGTAACCGACACCAAACACCCCCTGTCTTTGATCTCCATACGAACGAGCTTTTCAGGAGAATCCTCTTGAATGAGAGGATTCAAGCGTCCGAAATGTGGTAGCGAACGCCATTTTCTGTACTCGTCCTCCTCCTCCCTGAAGCTTACAAGCGGGAAGAAGAACCCCCCGTGGAGGTCGTAGGGCCACCAGGCCGTGAAATCAGGATGCCAACTCCTCAACTCCTCCATCATCAAGGTGTTCATCCTCAGAAATATCTTGCCATGTCCAGTAAAACCCCTAGTGTTTGGTATATCTTTTTTGCAACAGGCGCATTTGCAGATGAACACGTCAATGTATGCATGTAGCAGCTCATGCAACAGGTTTCTGATTGCGAGCTGTAGCGATGCATAATATATTGGTCCCGAGTGATCGCGAAGGGCTTCAAATACAGCAACTTCAGAGTAGGGATGCCCAAACTCGGAGCTACCTTTGCATATGCCACCACAATAAATGCGATCGGGTGAGATATGTGTTTTTAGAAGATCATTCCCGGCATCGAGACGGACCAAGGGGCGTAAGTAGCGGGGGCAATGTCGAGTCAATGTGCCGAAAAAGAAATAGTCGTCGAACATCCTGATAATTTCGCGTAAACTGTCTCTGAAAAATATTTTTCTCTGCGCAGATGGCGGTGATGTTGTCAAGTGGATATCTATGTGCGGTGGACCATCAAAGGCCCTTGGCGCAAACTGTTTAGAGTACCACTTCAGAAATGCAGATTTGGCCATCAACTGATGTGAATAGCGCTCGCCGGATAGAAATCCCGCGCATGTGGCATCCTGGAGGTCGGTAGCGTCGTATCCCCCTGGTGTCAAGTCCAGGAAAGGAGGGTGATCGGCCAAAGATCCCAATGAACTTGCGTAACTCTCGGCCAAGCTCTCCTCACAGAGCTTCGGAAAACAAGGGTGTTCGAAAGTCTCGCAGGCCTTGACTGGAAGCAATTTGACTGCGGAATCTTGCGGCTCGTGTGGTAAGCCTTGAGCGGCCATGATTCTTTCGTTTACTTGTGTTGGCCAAGTGTGAAATGTATGGAAGTCGGAGTCAAGTCGACTGAAACGTCACTCCCGAAAAGTCAGATGTTGAGTATCGAAGCAAGAAAAGTTCTGGTGGTAAAGAATTCATTGATGTCCGTACTATTTATGTCTCTCCATGGGGGGCTTCCCAGAAAGGTGATCGCAACTTTACAAGCACCGGCCTCATGCATTTTTCTTACACCTTAACGGCCAAGTCGTTGCTATCCAGTCCTTAGTATATCAAAACTTGACCAGCGCCTTGGGGCTCATTGGTTAAGTCATCGTACCAAGTTTGAAGAGAAGCGGTGCCTATTTGACTTGAGCAGTCTATCAACACTTGCATTTGTATTTTTACAGAAAGGAGCGATTATTGCGCGCTCCCCGTTCTATTTGATGGCGAGTGCTGTGGCACAACAACTGCATTCAAATATTGGAACAATCTAACGCGCTCTGAGCCTTCGGTTTCTGCAAAGTCCTCCGCGTTTCCCCAGTCCGCGGATTCTGTCATGTATTCTTTTCCCTCGTTTGCACTTCCGATTGATGGTATCGTACAGCAAGGTACTACCTGCGGCTACACCCTTTCGCCTCCCATACGGCTGCACGTGATGGAGACATATATGTTGGAGAGTCCTGTCATCCATTCCCCGAATGCCTAGTTAAATTCGCGTAAATGCCCTGTCATAGAATATTGCTGTTCTTGTTGTTGTCCACCCGACAACTCCGTGACTCGAGTCGGGAAGCGGGCTGAACATCCAATTTCATTTGCGGGTAAACCGAAATTATCTCAGCTTGTTGGTCATGATTTGTTCTAGAGGCTTGCGGTTCAGAGTCACCTCGAAGCTGTAACAAAATGAACACTTGAGTGACTATAACCGTTTGACTTTGCTCGGCTTTACAGCACAGCTAAGATTTACCGGCAAGCGACGTCATAAATCGGAAAAAGGAGGCCGATGACATCCCAGCACACAACCCACCAGGCTTTGACAAGAACGTCAAATTCTATTACTTCCATCTTGTTCTACGTATCATATCTAAAGCCCGAGCGTTGGCTACGTTACGCTATTCTCTCTCAGATACCTAACACATGTAACATTACTTAGTGTTGGCTT